TCCGGGATCTCGGCGTGGCGCCAGGACGCATCTCTTGAGCTCGGCACGGCGCGGTGCAGCGCTGAAAAAATACAATAATTTTCAGTCACACTGTTCATACGATTTAAATACAAAATTCTTTTTACACCTCTAAATGAAGTAATTTTAAATTGGTAAATTTCTAAACAATTGCACTATGCCCTTACAAGCGGAGACATTTTCAAGAATGAAATAAATTTAACAAGTTAAAAAGACATCTTTATTACGGAATACAGGGTGTGGTTATAAACCAGCACCGAACTATAATTTATAAACCATTGTAAACAACGACAAATTTTTCTATTTTATCTTTTAAGTGTCAACAAACAAACATCAAGGCCAGGATTTAAGAGTTAATGCACTAACAACATGCCAAAATGCCTCAATTTCTTACGCCACATTCATCGGGCATCAATTGTTACGGCATAGGAATTTCGGCTAAAAGAGATTCGATGACTCGTGACGAAGATAATACAAACCTGTCTTTCACATTCTTCAAATGCAGGGGTAGAATTCTCACATACCGAGGCTAAATAGATCACTTAATTCCTAAAAAGAATGCAATGTCAGTAAAACCATGTCATTCACTTTTAATTTTCCGTCTTCATTTACTATCGCAACGTGCGTACGATTTCACAAGTAAGGTTCCAAAATGCAATTCAGCGAAAATTGTGCTTAATGCACCAAAGATCACAAAACTTCTCCAAGTAACTTTTTCATGTCTATCGTTAAGACTTCTTTCACATGTCAAAACAAAATACTTTCTTTTTCTTAATTTTAATTTATGTACCAAATTTCAACTATGTACGTTTTTAACATTGGAAGAAATAAATATTGTAAACAAGTGAATTCGAGAAAACTCACCAATTATGACGTCGTGCACGTATATGCAGCCCTAGGGTTGGCGGTGGTAGTCGAGGTCCTCTGACAGGATTAACGACTTATGAAGAGAGGTGATGGTCATCGTCCGGCTGTCGGAATTCTTTAACAATTAAGAAACGGGTACCGATTAACAACAACATCATCGTAGTTTACATAACAATTTTAAGTACAATATCCCAAGTTGCAAGAAAATTCAAAACACAGTGTAACGAGTGTTAAATGGCGGCAGCTAATACTCTAATGCGCCGATCCATATAGCGTGAACTAACTACAAATTCATAATCTAAAACCAGGAATGTAATGTTCAGATAAATTCCGAACTGATGTACGTAGCATAAAATGACTTTCAAAAGACGAGCTGTTTTTTCTAAGCCAATAATCGGTCACCTCGTCTAAAAACTCACAGCAAGTCCGCCTAACTTACAAAATTACTGATGACGAAGACAGATTGCTTTTTGCACGAATTACATTCTTCTACCAGTGAAAACATTAAGTTGGATACCGCTAAAAATTATGCATTAACAGTATTTTGGACATAGAACAACAATCCAAATAGATACGGCAAACTCAAGAAAACTCACCGATTAAGACGAGATGAAATACAATATGACCCTAGGATCGACGGTCGTAGTGGTCGTCAGTCGGATGAATTACTGAAAAACAAAGAAACAAACTCCTATTAACATCATTGCAGTCACAAGAGAGAGTGTACCACACATGACAAAACTCACCGCTTACGACGCGATGCACGTAGATTCAACCCCCGGGTTGGTGGCGGTAGTCGAGGTCCTCAGACAGGATTCACGACTTATGAAGAGAGGTGATGGTCATCGTCCGGCTGTCAGAATTCTTTAACAATTAAGAAACGGGTACCAATTAACAACATCATCATCGTAGTTTTCAAAACAATTTAAAGTACAATAC